AACGTTTCGACAAGGTTTTGTCATCATCAACTTATATTAAAGTTTTTCTTCATTACCCATTTAAGCCGTCTCCAGCCATTATTACCTATGAAATGTTAGGTTAGGGTATACTATGGGGTGGGGGCAATAGTACTTGCCCCATCAGTTTTGACAGGTTATATGCTAATTAAACTCTATAATAACCACATGTGTGGATAAAAGAGGAGTCTGTTGTTGCAGTAGACTTATATTTTTTTAACATGCAAGTATATGTGATAGATAATTATTAAAAAGAAACATATATGTAACATGTACACTTCTAGATATATACCAAGTTTGATGAGAAATGTAGTAAATCAAATGATAACATTTAATTGTTCTCAAAGAAATCTAAAATCCAGAAAGCATCCTGGAATTAAAAAATACCCAAACTCTATGTCAGAAATGTAATGACTACCTTTTGTATAGTAACATTTGTACAAGTTTCCAAAATTGTAACAACATTAGTATCTAGAATGTATGTTTCTGTTACTAGACTTAACTAATATTAATTGGAGATACTAATGTTATTTTCTATGTGTAATTTAGGTGCCATCAAAATGATAAGCTTATAAAATTCAACTTTACAGTTACTATTAACTATTAGAATAAAGCCCATTTGTTTTGTGATAGTTATTGTTGTACTTATCTTTCAGTGGCTTTCCTGAACTTAAATAACATCATCAATGCGTTTGATCAGCATGGTCTTCGAGCTCAGAATGATAAGCTTATCAGCATCACAGAAATGATTACATGTCTTTCAACAATCTATGAGAGTGTATCCAGTGAACCAGGTTTTTTGGTCAACAAACCTCTAAGTATAGACATGTGTTTAAACTGGCTGTTGAATTTGTTTGACACGTAAGTTGCCTTTAATAGGATTGCTTAACTATTATGTTGTTGTTTATTTGACGATAAATTAAAGTAGAATATTTTACAGGTAAAACTTGTATTAAACTATGAGAACAGAATAACCAGTCAGTAAGTACATTCGGATTTTTAACACAATAAGTATACAAATAGTGTGTTTCACTTGATGTTATATATTCAACTCAGGATGCACTTTGTGTATCCACAAGCTTTCTTTAGTGCAAAGCATTTTTTCATTGGCCACATTTCCCAAGATGCTGAAATTATTGATTGTGATGCTAATGTCATGGTCTTGCAAACAGTGATGAAGATATATATACATACACAGTACATAAGTGTGAATATGATAAGGCTGAGGTTTTCTTTTTAATACACACTGATGTGCTGAATGTGGCTTAAACATTTACTTTAACATAATCAGTTATCTCATAGTGATTTTGTAATGATGATGCAAATTACTTGACATCAAGAAGAGGCACTTTATAGGCAAAATATTTTGCACATATGACTCATCTTTGAAGCCACTTAGAATTAATTATATAAAACGAGTATTGGGGAAGATTGTCATTAATATTAACTTCTGGTCAGAGCAAACTACCTACTTATACCAAAAATAAATCCAGTAACATGTATAACTAACTAAATATACTTTTCTTACATTTTTACTTATAAAGATTAGGATATGTTGTTTTATCAGTTGGGTACTCTCACTGTTAATGATATTTTTTGCCCATAGTTTAAACCCAATAATATCTTACAAGGTGTGACCAGCTTAGAAGATTTAGGTTAGTTTTAAATCTATACATTAAGCTAACAATACAAAATATTCTCTATATTAAAATTATAATAATCAAAATAAATTATGAAACTAGATATATTATGTTAATGAAAGTAACATATTATGAAAACATGAAAGCTCAAATATCCATCTTGCTGTAATATGGTTTTAAGAACAATCTCGCAGTCTATCAGTTTTACTTTGAAATGTTAAAGTTATATAGTGTTTCTCACAAAAACATTATAAAATTGAACAATATCAACATTTTTGGGGAAAAAAAGTATATTTTTTTATGCTGATTAATTTATTAATTATCACCTTTCATACATCAACACAGCTGAACACATTAATTTTACTATTATCAAGGACATAAGTGAGTACAATATTGCATTATAATTAAATCATAAAGATTTAGACTTGCATTTATGATTTCCAAAATTCTCTATTAAATATCAAAAATTGTATGTGCTGTAAATAAGAAAAATATTGTAAGAAACAAGCAACAAATAATACAGTTCTTTGAACAATTCCATGTGTTTTATGTTCATTACACAGTTATTTTCAATACATTATATTCAGGTGATTAACCAAAATTGTACCAACTGACTTTCTGTGTAACATGTTAAGAAGTATAACCATAACAGTGTTTGATACACATGTATATCTGGTAATTTTCAGAAATTATTTATACTTTTCAGTGTTTTATGTTAATGACATTGGCACAAGTATTATGATTAAAATACATAGTCTTGAAAAACTGTAGTTTATATTCTTTCTACTTGTCAGTGTTCTAATGCTAGTTACTGGCATTAGTACAATAGTCTAGTTGAATAGTTTAGAAATATTGTGATTTGCAAGCTGGAAAAGGCTTTGGGTTTTGTGGTCAATCAATTCCACAGAATTTATGGCACAGTTATATGGAATTAAAAGATGAAAAACATGGGATCATATGATACTGTTGCAGAAATCTGAATCTTTGTAACAAAATTAGAGGAAAAAGGAAATTAATTGTTTTGAATATTTGAATATTTTTACATGGAGTGTATGAATTATGCTGAAAAGACTGATTTTTAACATACAAGATTCTACTTGCTTGAATTAGTGTTAAGTGTAGGAAGTTGTGACTGGAGAACTTTAGAATGTTGAATTCACATACATGTTGAATAAGTAGTCATAAACAAGTGATTGTTTTGATCTTTATGTACTCTGTGCATTTTTAAACTGATTAAGAAAGAATGAGAAAATTCTGAAGTGATATACCTCACAGATAGCTTCTTTCCACTTGAGTTTGCACATTCTCCCATAGAAACTTGCAAACCATCAGCCTTGTGAAAACTCTCACCTAACCTCACATGAATTTCCACAACTGCATGATGACATCATCTTGCAGTAGAACCCTTCACTAGTAGGAGCAAGACAGACCTCCATGTCCAATGACTTTCTCTACATTCACGCTTGTGAATCTTCATTCTTTTCCTTGGCACTTAGTGCACTGATATGTTTTTGAGTTTGCTGAGATTTGCAATTTTTTCAAATTTCAGTTTTTTACTTGGTTGAGTTTATTACACTCAACTTGAATTCATAATTTAATTTGAATATTTCTAAAGCTAATGTGAGTGAATTATCTCCTCACACTGCACATATTAATGGTATTTCTGCTGGAAGTTCTTTTTCTGTGGAAAACACGACAGCCATATTCCATTGTGTGGTGTGGTCCATTATATAGCCAAGACTCTTCCATAACTTTCCTTCCCCAATTTTGTGCCTGAAACTGATGAGGATGAAGTTGAGCACCAATTTTCACCTCCAAGTGTATATTGTGAACTATTCTACCTAACGAATGACACCCTCAAACTTCCTCTGACTTTCTTCACTTTATTTTTCAGATATGTGCAATTACTTTTCTTAATCCATTGTTTTTTACTCTTCCCATTTACTTTTACATAAGCCTTTCCTCACAATTTATTTATATTTCCTTCTTCACTTGTTATATCGGTACATACCACTTCATTTCAAGCTCACTTTCTCTCTTGCAATTTTATGCCTGGTACTCCCTGCCTTACTATCTCCTTTGTTGTCTGTTCTAGTCATTAGCATTACCTGTTCCAGTCTTCAGAGTCGCATTTGCCAGTTTGAGGAGTCAGATTCATTGCCTGCTTATTTTTGTCTTTCTGAATTTTGTACTACCCTTATTTGGTATCTCTCCTCCCTTTACTTTATGTCAGTAGCCCTTCTTTGTTCCCTTCATGACCTTTCTTGGAAATTTAGATCTCTCCTTTTTGCTTCCTTGGCCCATTCCACCTCCTTAACCATTTATCCTCTTCTCTGTTACTTCTGTTGGAACCATTTGGGAAGGGTACCCTCTTATCTCAAGTTCATCTCTCTTTCACTTTTTTTGGGCCCTTCGTTTTGCCTCTTATTTTCATCCAGAGAAATTTAGTGGTGTCCCTGATTCCCTGGTATTATGGGATTCTGCTGTCCGCCCTCAATTTTTCTCTCACATTTTTCATTTTCCTAACTGTTCCAACCTTGACCTACCAATTTTGTACCTCATTATGGCTCTCATCCTACTCACATCCTATGTCTTGTATACCTTCCATCCTCCACTTCTCATCCCACATTCATCCACCATCTTACTTGCTGGTCTAATTGGTGACGAGCACCCATTTTTCTTCCCTCTACCTTTTGGTCCCAATTGGTTTCCTTTTCCCATCTGATCCTGCATACCTTCAACATCTTGGGTAGGAGCAATGTTGGAATTATGAGAGAATTAACCCATCTTGAGGGTTCACAGCCCCTCTCTGAATTTGCCCTCCTGCTCTTCTGTTCTGCCTCTAAGGATAGGGGACTAGGGTCTGATTATTGACCCATCTTCTATTTATTGTTTCTTGGTTGTGACACAATATTGGATTGTGAATTTCTCTCTCCACTGGTAATTTCACCCCAGCCTATGGATGACCAAGGAATATATGTTTTAGATGCCTTTATCCACATCCCAATCACTCCATCCTCACAACATTGTCTCCTACTCACCCTCCCTTCACTCTCATTCACATTATGCAGGCCTTTGCTTGACCTCTTCAGGTTCTGGACCTTTGATACATTTTATGTTTACAACAGGCTTCTCCTCACCTATTCCCATGCATAATCCTCCCTACTTTACTTCCATCCTTCTTTGCAACTCAATCCTTTGGGGTGGCCTGTCAATTTTCCTAATTTTTCCTTACCCTGACTAGTTCTCATTCTCCTACTAATTCCGATCAACTCATCCTGACTGTGTTTAACCTTCTCCCATTCACCTACTATCTAGTCACAATGTTTTGCACCTCACATTTACTTTTTGCAATGGAGGTACTTCCACTTTTGGGGACCATGGCTTTTCTGGCTGTGCACATATGTATCCTCTACAGTAGGTGTTGCATGACCAATAAAACCTTTTCAGGGTTCCACCAACTTTACAAATCCACCTTCCTTTTCTTTTGGAGGATCTTGCTTGGAGGCTAGACCTCTCTACCACCACTTCTGGTGTTCTCTTACCTGTTCCAAATCCAGACTTACACCTATATATGGGCACCTCTCTCTCAGGATAATGTGTGTCTCTGAATAAGTCTTACTTTAGCTCTTTGTTCCTTGAGAGATGTCCTGTGCTTATCATGCCTTCAACCTGCTTGATGTCCTTCATGCTTTGCTCCAATTATTTCCTCTTCTTATGAATCAATTAGTTGTGATCCATTTGGTTAGATTCATTGTCTTGTCTCATGTCAACCACCAATGAGATACACATACCAGGTCCCCTTCTCCTTTGTACCCATTCTGTTCATGTGAGTTTCATAACCAGTCATGTTCCAGGTTTACTTAACATTGTCATAGGATGTCTTTCTCGATAAGATTGCATTCTACACATAGAATGGTCCCTCCACTTACATGTCTTCTATTGATCTTCTTTCAAATTAGTACTCCTCGGGTAACTTCCTTTGCCACACCCCTTAAAACCAGCCTTCCTCTCTCTGGTCTCCTGTACTTCATCTCTCAGCCCTGGCTGTCTATGTCCTCGGTCAAGGCTGGTGCCATAATTTTCTCCTGGCCTGTTCTCCTCTCCACCTCCCTCCCTTGGATTCTCACTCTGATTTGGAACACCCCATGCAGGATACTACTGGTTGTCTCTCACTGGCAATTCCAACCTAGATTTCTGTAATCCATCTTATCTTGTCCAGGACCCCTTTCCTCTCCCTATATACCTTACCTTCTGATCCAAACTCACATATAACTCTTTCATTTAGGAGTGACATTCCTTCGTCTTTACATGTAGGACTTCAAGCCATGTTAACCTATTGTGTACCTTGTTATTTTTCTACTCTGGTCACCCTTCTTCCTCTTCTGGTTACTGCAGTACATGATGTACTTATTGCCATTGGTTTCCCCTTCACAATTTCCCCTCTAATAACTGCTTTATAATATATCCCCTCCTCTTTTACATGTGTTCTACTGTTGCTTGCCTGTCTCTTCCATCACAGTTCATTAGGTAGCATTTCTACCACTTTCCACCTATCCCAATGCCACAGGATAATTTCTTCATCAAGCCTTTCTACCACCTTCTGTTCCTTCCTTATCCACAGACCTCACTGATCTTCTCTTTGTCTGACTGAATTCTCACTGTGGTTCTCCACCTTTTTACCTGGGACCCTCACCTCTAACAACTTGTCCAATATATTATCTCTCCCTGGACACATATGACCTCCTCCTTGCCTGTGGTCACCATTGTTCAGATGTCTATGCCATGATTTTTTACAGAATTCTCTTAAACTGCACTTACCTTTTTTTTACCCTGGCTGGTCCTTCCTTCTCTAGCCTTCCATAACATAGTTCAATGGTCACACCTTTCTCATATACCCTTTCTTACTATATCACTTCTCTATGCTCATGGTGATGTATATATAATATGATGCCTTTCTCCCACAGCTGGCATGAGGCCCATAGAGAGTGATGGTAGAATTGAAGTGAACACACCATATGCACCAGTTATGTATCACTCGTATACCCTACTTCCACAGCAGACAAGGAGCCAGTAGTGATTAATGATCAAGTAGAGGTCTATATAACTACCAATACAGCGCCCTCTTCCCAAAGTTGGCATGAGGCTCATAGAAATTGATGGTGGAGGATGTGAGTATGGATGCTTATCACAGGTGCCCTTCTCTCCTGACTATTTTTGACCAATTGAGTCTGATGGTAGAGGAAATGAGTACACAAGTATGGCCTGAATGAGCCCCAATCTCACTAAACATATTGTCAGTCTCACAGTTTGTGTGCAAGTTCTTGGATGGCCATGTACCTGTTCCATCCATCCTTGTGACAACCTTATGGCTTTTGTGATTCCTCTATTTTTCTACATAGGCAAAGAGTTAACTCTGGACAAGATGAGATATGGTCTCCCTATGGAGCCCCTGCCATCGGTTGTCAGAACCCCATGGGCTTTCTTCAGTCCCTTTCTGAAGGGAGTTTATCAAGGCAGTCTTTGAACCAGTCTTTCCACCATCTCAACATGGGATTCTAACTCTAGAGGTGAGGTATGATTTCTGAAGTTAATGTTTTCCTTACCATAAAATGTATTTCTGATAGATAATCACCTTTCACACATTTCCATCCATCCTACTTGCTTTTCCATTCCACATTTATTCATTGCTTTGTCAAAGAATAAGGATTCATGAGCTCAAATGTAGAGGAAGTCATTGCACATGAAGGTGGAGAGTTCTGCTGTATGATGACATCATCATGCAGTGGTGCAAGTTCACGTGAGATTAAGTAGGAGTTTTCACAAGGCTGGTGGCTTGCAAATGTCTTTGGCAAAATGTGTGAACTCAAAAGTAAGGAAGCTGTCTGTCAGAGGAGGTGAGTATTTATCAAAATACATTATTATTTAGGGAAAATATTAGCATTAAAGTTTGAGATTATTGTTAATGAAAGTTATTGTAGAGTTTTGAGTGCATGTGACTTGTGATTAAGACTTATATAGCAACATCAGTTGCTGACATGGTACAGATTTCCCTAATGACAATGTTGTATGATGGAAAATATAGCTAAGGTTATGTGAGAAGATTATACTTAATGGCTTTGATGTTAAATACATGGTGTTATGTAAAGAGTTATTGCATATGATGATTTCTTTGGTTTTTAAATTTTATTAATATTTTTAAATCTAAGACTGGGAATTGTATATTATTGAATGTTTTATCACTAGCTTTGACATGCAACAAGTACTAGTCAAAAGTGAGTTAGGAGGTAAATTAAGAAACTTGATACCAATTCCTGCCTGCTGGCTATTTATTTCAAGGCTTGTATACATAATTCATTATATTAGTGTATATCTGTTTGGTAGAATTCTTTGTCAGCATAGATATTAATTGTACTCATGATTTAGCCCTCTTGACAAATCTTTGATTTCAATGAGTGTCAACATTAATCATAATTTATCTGATAACAAGAGATACAGGTCAGTGTGAAAACATTTTGAAATCATTTGACAGATTATGTACTAATGAATTTGTCACACACAACAAAGGAACTTTTATTGATGGTTTTTAATAAAAAATGAAATTTCCAAAATAAAGGTTGAAAGAGAGAAGTGGTTATAAAATAAAACTTAGTTTATACAACTTCAGAATGAGTGGAGTGTCCCTATGTAAGAGTTCCTTCTTTTTGGAGACTTAAGTAAGTTAGTTTTCAGTCATTAAACACTTAACTTATGTTTTTTTTTTTTATGTTTTGTGGAATTACCACTGTTCAAACATAAATTCTGGATTTTTAATTATGAATACACTGTCTTGACTACTACTACTTTGTCTGTCATTTCTCAGGCTTCAGGTACATGGGGTAGGTAGGAGTTTCAAGGCTAGTGGTGAGTACAAAAAGTTGAGCATATAATGGGCAGCACTGAATGAGAGAAGCTATTATGTGCAAGGGGTTAAGTACCTATCAAAAATATATTTGCAATCCAGGAAAATATTTATTTCCTTATCTCCATGTGCAGCAAAACATCATATTTAATTGAGCAATGATCACTTGTACCTAGATGTTCCCCAGTCTCTACCCTATCATCTATTTCTTTATTAGATGTTAACAATAAATCTAAAACAGTTGTTCCTAGTAGGTTCCCTCATCAATTGTTGAAGAAATCCATCTTGAGCAGTTTTAAAAACCAGTCTCCCTTATGTGTCTAAATTAAAATTTCCTATAATTATAACCTCATTAACAATTAAATTGGTTATGTCGCTGTAGTTTCTCATTATTTTCATCAGTTTCATCTGGTTGCCTGTAACAAATTCCAACTAAATGCCTTCTCCCTTATAACCACTAACAGAAACCCAAATAGATTCAATCTTGTTACTGTTAGCTTTGATATCCTCAACAGGCTGTAACTCACATTTTAAATGTAAAGCCACTCCTCCCCCTTTTTTTTTGTTACTATTCTTGCCCTATTAAACAGTCTATTACCTTGTATATCAAAGAAATTTCTGTCATCAAAATTATCTGTATTTAGCCAGGCTTCAGTTTTCCCATTATATCAATTCCTCTCTTCTGACCATCGCTCTATATTAATCAATTTTATTTTTATACTTCTAGCATTACAATAACAATAGTTTAGCCTACTATTAATACTATCTTTGTACCTTGTTCTCACACTACACCTTTCTCCACATTCTTTTTTTTTTCATTATTTTGGCTCGCTACACTGTCTAATCTTAGTTTAAAGTTGCCTTTACAGTTGAATTAAAAGCCATTGCAAACAAACCAGCTCCTACCCTATTTAAATGGAAATCATCCATCCCAAAAATTCAACCAGCCAACTTGTCTTCCTTACATATTAATCTAAGCTAGCATTCAGCCTTAGTGACCTGCTTATAATTTCATCCTCACAGTTAAGTCTTGGCAGTATCCATGAAAGAATTAAGTTATTATGGCTCTTTTCTTTGTATACCTTGTATATAACAATAAGCTCTCCTGACTTACCCTTCTCTACATCATTAACTCTATGTGCACGACAAAGACTACATCACTACTAATACTCATGAACCTAAATGCACTTATTTTATTTAAATGTTTTATTAGAAATGGAGCAGCTAATTAAAAAACATTAAGGGCTCCAGTGTTTACTCATTTTATATTATTTGTTGGAGCTATTAGGTAGTGTTAGTACTTCTATACACTTCCTATTCCATTTTTTTCTGTAGGAATTGTATATTAATATTTTTATATGCTTGTACACATAAGTGTGATATTTATGGTGATATTATACATTTTAATGTCATTATTGCTGTGTCCTGGGGTGAGTACCGAGTACCGGAACTTATTTTTTAAGACAATACTACTGCCAGGACTTATTTGAGCTGCTTTGTCGTTTTTTATGCTTACATGTAGACTTTTTTCTTTTTAAAAAAATAGGCCCACTTCACCTAGCTGAATACCTCTACTTTTTTTTTAGGATTTCACAATTTTTGCTGTTCTCTCACTTTAGTTCAACTAGAACAGGCTATATTCGTATCCTTTCCTTCAAAATTGGTGTCATACTTCTATGTCATGGAACCCTCGAGGACAAGTTTAGATGTAAGTATCTAGAATTTTAAGAAATGAGTAATTGTGCTTATATTTCATCCAATACTTTATTCAGTGCCACACATTTATTAAAGGATATGACTAATTAAGTCTCATATCAAATACGTGTAAACAGTTTTGTTGTTCTTATCTAAGAAATAATATTGACTCATTAGAAAAGAGCTCAGAAGAAAGCTTCTTGGAGGATTCTAGGAATGGAAGGGTTATTGACAAAAATAGGCTAATTTGTCTTAACTTATTATCTCTTGAGGAAAGAAGGATAAGAGATGGTCATATTGAAGTTTACAATATTATCTATAGGATAAAGACTTATGTTTTCTTATTGCTATATTCTGATGACAATAAGATGATAGAACACAAGTTTAAGATTTTGTAGAAGACAGTTTAGGCTCCAGTAAAGACATTTTTATTTTTCTGACAGAGCTATTGATTTATGGAATGGGTTGCCATTGGAAGTTGAGGAGACCAATACTTTGCAAGAATATAACAGGGGAATCAATGACTTCCTGAAAAATAAAGGATGGGTTTAAATTTTTACTTTTCCCAAGGGTGGGTGTTCATGAAGGACAGCATTGAAAAACCAAATGGTTCCTTGTTGTTTTAGGTTATGCTATATGATGTTCATAAAATATTTTCCTGAAGCTGTTTCTATGTGAATGTATTCTCAAAGTATAGCAATGCATACTTAAGTCATATTCTTATTTTTTGTATATTAACAATATTATTCTGTTGAGCAACAAATTTCAGCCCTTAGCTTCTGCAGATGAAGAACTATTGGAGGGAAGGAAAGCAAAAGGGTCAAAAAAGTATATGGATGATAAGGAGGTTATAGTTATAGGTGATTCTTTGACAAGGCATGTGGAGAGAATAGTCTATGGGGTAAATAGGGAGAAAAAGAATCAGATTACGCTAACCAGGGGCACAGGTGGAGGATATAAATGACAGAACAGGAGATATAATAAATGGAGCTAGCAGAGATGCAGTTTTTGTTGTGCATGTAGGGGCCAATGATTTAGGTAAAGGTAGGTCAGAGGAGCTAATTAATAAGTACAAATGGGTTGATAAAGGCATTTAAAGAAAAAGGCCATAACTTAATTTTTTCAGGGATACTGCCCAGAATTAACTGTGGAAATGATGTTATAAGTAGGTCACTAGGGCTAGATGCTAGGCTTAGGTTAGTGTGCATGGATGAGCAGATTGGCTGGTTGGACTTGTGGAATCAGTTCAATGGAAGAAGGGAGTTTTTTGCAATGGATAGTTTACATTTAAATAGAGTAGAGGCTGGCTTGTTTGTCAAGGCTAGTAACTCAGCTGTAAGGGAAGTTTTAAACTAGGACTAGACAATGGTGAGGGCCAAGGAAAACTAAATGCAAAAAATTAAGA